ATCTTCATTTGGTCCCATGAACTGTTCGGCGAAACAAAACTGATGATTTCACACGCAAATGATAAGAAGTTCACTTACTTTGCTGAATTAATAACGATTAAGCGGTTGAAAATACCAATAATAAAACTGTGCACTTACCTTATTATCGCCGATGGCCACATCTAAGTAAACTTTTTTGGTGACTGTTGCAGTGTCTGCTGCCAAAGTCGAATAATAAAAAGCGATAGATGACAGAACCACCAGCAAAAGCAGACCCATTATCCCTGAACTGATAATTTATCATTGGCAAAGCGGACTGCACATACTACATTGGTATTCGGCAGCCGACAGAAGTACGCATCCAGGAATCACCATCCAGAAGAAGCTGGCATCGCCCCTCTTTCATGGATTCACTAATACACATCATGCTCCACGAACGTGTGAATTAAACAGAACTTGTTCAGTCGAAAGACAAAACGACGGCCTGTGCAGCCATCAAGTCTGGTTTAGTTCTTGGGAAGTTGTAACCTTCCCAAGAAATCCGCAAAAAGCCGACAAGTAAAAAGAAAGATGTATACTGCCTATGAGGGCGAGAGAGAAAACAAATGCATTGTGCTTTGAAAGGCAAATATGCAGTAAATCTGCTATCAGGCTGATTTTGAAGTGCGGGAGCCGACAGTGTACTGAGTAGCACGTCGTGTCCAGGTGAGAAATGAGGTAGTTTGATTCATTTCGGTGCACAATAATTTTTCCATACACCGCAGGAGCTGTTGATGTCACTAGGGTGCAAACTTTTATATCCTGAGCTAAATGATCCTCGTTAGTAGGTGATCCCCTGCTTGCTCGCACTACTCAATGATACATAACTCGCATAAATTAGCGCCAGCAAACCAGCGATATGTTTTGCCCAAAAAATTTTATTTTATTTCTCGGGGTTGCGAAAGCATGCTCCACGCCACACCGGGGGAGCAAAGAAATACGTTCGAAGTACCCTTCCTTCGTTCTAGCGTCACCTCGATGACAGCCTGTTAACCGAACCAGCACAGTGAACTGTAACTCAACTTATTTAAGCATTTTTCTATGAGCTGCAGCAGCACGCCTCTACATGCGTATGCCCAACATAGAATTGGGATGAGGGAGGGAGGGAGTGCATCCAGATTGATAGGAACTGAGTAAGTGACCAGAGAACAAACATCTATTCAAATCAAACAGAATATTTTCTAAGGAAGTAATGCTCTTTGCACAGGAAATATAAACATAAGCTCTTATATACCGTCAGCCTAACTATAGAATGAACCTAAGGCCATGAGCCATCAGCCACAGTGTCAGCAGATTTGATTGAATAGCCCATTATTTCAAAAAGTTCAAGGTCGTTCAAGGCGTATATTGCCCGTACACATTCTTTCTTGCAACTTTAATAATTTCGATTTTATTAATTCAAAATCGAAGGTAAGTACCTCTTATAGAGAGCGCTTGGAAGTAGCTCAAATGGGACAATTGCCATCAGAACCCAAAAGCAAAGAAGCCTTTTTTGAGGACTGCTTAGAAGCAAGCTACGCCTTTGGCATTACGTCAACACTATTTTAGCAATGAAACGAATGAACGAATCGTAAAGGTTGTTTCAGAGGCGAATTTTTTTTCAGTGCTCATCATAAATGGGACTATTGGGACACAAAATGTGTTATGATGTATGTAATTATCATGACCCAATCAGGACGTGTATGCAACAGGCAATGAGAATAAATAGGTGACATTGGGCAAGCACCGTTCTCCGCGCAAAATCCAGCCCCTTCGTTCCCATTTGCGCAGTCGGCTCACTCTGCAGTATACTAAGCTAAAAACATACAACGAAAACGTGTTCGTAAGTGAGCCATTTCAGAATAAATATCTAGCAGTGACATATCCGTGCGCGTAGCTAATGGCTGGCTTGAAGCGACAGGTCAGCAGAAAACCATCGGCACTGCTCTCTGCCATCGCAGATATCGCCAAAGCCCCTGCATTTACATTCTCTTTTTTTTTCACTTTTAAATTGGCATGCTTTTTCGAAAATAAAAGTAGCAGCGTGTAACATGGATCGGTACATTCATGCAGTCTCGCGACAAACTCTTCGGGAAGCAAAGTCTCATAATACACTGCATACACTATGTGTCAAATCCCCTTCGCTTTCCTCTCTACGAGAAAGAGGCACTCGGGAAGTCGCCCGAATGGGGTAGCAAATGCCAACAGCAAAGCTATCGACGGCTTCCTCTTTTGAGGACTGCTTAGGGGCAAGCTGATGGTTTGCACCAGTACCAATTTACCACTGAAACGAATTTTAGAATCGTACGAGGATTGATTGTCTCATTGGGGTAGTGAGACTAATTTTCCGACTTTCAGCTTGACAACAATACAACTCGCTACAAATGCAAA